AGAAATAGTCATACGGAAAATAAGGTGAGGGTGAATCTTCAAAACTGGTTTTCCTTTCCCATTTTCAAAATGTTCTAAAATGATAATGTTCGTAACAGTCCTGTGAGGTGCGAATGAATTTTTCCTCATTTTACAGATGTAGAAACTGAGGCTTAAAAGAGATTCAGGAACTCTCAATCATACAGCTATTAGGTGGCAGCCTAAGGATTTGTAATTAAGAATATCAGGCTCCCAAGGCCCTGCTCTAATCCCATATTTCACAGCCTGTACACACCCAAAACAAGGAACCATTGATCCACCCTGCTCTGCCTCTGCAGCCAAGTGCCACTCTGCCTCCATTCCCAGGGCAAGCTTTGCAGGATAAGATAGAGATAGGGCGTTTCCCCTAGGCAGAAAACAATATTTTAGGAGCATATTTTTATTAAATTTACTAAAAATTAGCATGTGAATGTACTCTTTCTGTGAGAAGCATGATCCTTCAGGAACACTTAAACTTAGTTCTTTATTAAAGACATTTTTACACACCTGTCATCCTAGCACTTTGGGAGGCCAAGAAGGGTGACTCACCTGAGGTCAGGAGTTTGAGACCAGCCTGGCCAACATGGTGAAACCCCGTCTCTACTAAAAATACAAAAATTAGCCAGGCACAGTGGTACATGGCTGTAATCCCAGCTGCTCGGGAGACTGAGGAAGGAGAATTGCTTGAACCTGGAATGTAGAGAGCTGAGATGGTGCCATTGCACTCCAGCCTGAGTGACAGAGCAAGATTCTGTCTCAAAGAAAAAAAGAAGACATTTGTAAATCAACTGTCTTAGATGATTACTATTTAAATATCTTTTCTACTTCATATCCAGAGAAACTTTGTTTTCTGCTCAGATTTGAAGGAAGAAAACCATACAATGTTTATGATAATATCTATAAAAGGTATCTTGATACTTTCATTTTGTACTCTAGTCCAGCATTTCTCAGTTACATTCCCTAAAGGTTTAAGAAGCACTTCAACTTTTTAAGACACAAAAGTTTAATACTAGGAGGTTGTATTAAAAATATACAAATGCTATGTCAGAAATATGGAGATAGACGTGATAACCTACTAAATCAATATAAGTGGTTGCTCTTACTTATGGGATCACTTTCCTGTAAGAAAGAGGGTCATTTCTGAGAAATGGAGATACCACCCAGAGGCCACCTCATGAAGGGAAGCATCAGGGTCCACTTGGGTGTGACCCACTTGCAGTGTTTCCAAATTTACCACAAGGGGCACTGTGCATGTCATTTCAGTGTTCACTGGGCTATGGACATACAGTTATAATTTTAATGTGCCTAATCTGCATCAGACATTGTGATAGGCTTGATGATTAAAGCATCGATAAGACACTGTACTCACCCTTAAGTGACTTAAAACATAGTCAAAGAGACTTTCAAGCAAGGCATGAGCTAATGCACAGATATTAAGATGGCAGTAGGGTGGCTGGGAGCTCCGAAGAGAAGATAAATTTTTAGCAGAAACATTTTCAGAAGAGGTGGCACTCAAATTGAGTTTTGAAGACAAGAATTTCGTTAGCTATTAGGGGGAGCAGGATTGTTTTGGAGATGTGAAAGAACAGAAGTCTCTGGAAGCTAACATAAGTTTGGAACAGATGGAGTGACAAATACACGTGGGAGAAGGTCAAGATGAGAAGTGAAAATTTAGCAAGGGCAAATTCATGAGAGACTCTGAGTACCTTGCTAAATATTTTGGCTTCTCTTTCAAAAGCTGTGAGAAGCCACTGAAGAGTGACAAATACAGAAATGGCATGACCATATTTTCATCTTAGGAAAATTATTCTGACATCAGGACATTGTGGATATGGAGAGTAGGGAGGGTATGGAAAGATTTTTATGTGTCTGGATTAGGTGATGGGTGAAGGACAGCATCCCTCACCAAGGTGAGAAATATCAGAGATGGGGCAGGGTGGAGAGGGGATTGCAAGGTTAAACTCTGACATGTTAAGACATTACAGAGCGACATCGGGGAAGAGTAGGCACAGCTGGAAACACTGGTGTGGAGGCCAGGAAAAATGTCCCTCTGGAGATGGGGGTTTTGGAAAGAGTTGATGGGAGTATGGTCAAAAGTTTCTAATGCTACAGAAAGTTCTAGTAAGAAGGAGCCTGACAGTGGAGAGACGTTGGCTTGAATACACATGAAGAGGTCATTAGTGGTCACTGAGAGAGTAGCTCTTTTGGAATGGCAAGGGCCCCTTTCTTTGGGGCCCTTGGGTAGTAAATGGGAAGCTTGGAAATGGAAACAGTAAAAACAGATTTCTCTTTCCAGAAACTTGGCTGACAGAAGAAAGATACAGAATAAGAGCTAGAGGAAAGTTGCTTTTCTCTTAATATTAAAGAGGAAGATTGAGGCTTGTTTATATGATGAAAAGAAAGATCTAGCAGTTGGGGGAGAAAAACACATGAAGAAATATGTGATTTCTAGAAGGAGTTGAAGGTTTTGGGTGGAGGCAGATTTCTCTGAGTCAGACAGAGGGAGTGCTTTCAGAAAGAGAAGGTAAGCTGAGAAAATTCACATCTGATAGCATTTAATTCCACTTTTGAAATAACAAGCAATGTCTGTAGAACTTGGGGGTGATGAGAGTCCAGTGAGTGATTTGGGGAAAGCAATCAAGATGGAAACACTGGAGCGGAGGGTTTGTGGTGTTCTGGATACACACCCCATCACAGTTTTAATCAAGCACATTTTGACAATTTGCTGAATATACTTGGAAAATTTAGAAACAGTTTTTTTAAGGGTCAGATCACCTGTCAACCTTAAAGAACCAAAGCTTCCTGATTATATGATTATGAAGTGCCACTTTTAATGAAGACTCTCAGTTCTCCAATACTAATTAGGTTAAATCCCATTATAATTGTCTGCTGTGTGGCTTATACCTCATTTTATTGCAGAGCATTATTTGTGTTCAGTTGGAAGAAAGGGCTCCATCCTACATATGTTTTTATAGTTCAGGCTCTACCTCTTGCTCAAACAATTTTCTAATGTATAGTACTCCCCCTTTATCTGCAGGGGATGCATTCCACGACCTCCAGTGGATGCCAGAAACAGAGAATAGTACTGAACTCTATATGTACTCTGTTTTTCCTATACATATATACCTATGAAAAATTTTGATTTATAAATTAGGTACAGTAAGAGATTAACATTATACTACTAATAGAACGATTATAATATGTTATAATAAAAGTCATGTGAATGTGGTCTCTCTCTCTCTCTCCATATCTTACTGTATTTGTTGTACTCAGCTATTTTCAGACAGCATTTGACCACAGGTAACTGGAACCATGGAAAGTAAAACCACAGATAAGTGGAGACTACAGTAATTGCATTAGAATTATTAGTATGTACCTTTTAAAAAATCCACAATGAATCAAATCTTTGAATACAGATCCACATATAAGGTTTATAAATTCATATGCCTAATGAAAAGAAACAAGTTTAAAATACTGTAATTGGTATTTTCCAGTCTAAAAAAGCATATGTTACCCCAAAATTCCTGGGTTCATCATAGTTCAACAATTTTAATTTTTTAGAGTGAAGATTTTATATTAACTGTTTGCTCTCTTTCAGTTCCTTCAGAATCAACAGAAAACATGTATTTGTCTACTTACTCTATGTATATCTTTGCATGATAATAATGCCTAAAATTTGTGGAGTGCCTACCATGTGCCAATATTGTTCTTGGTGATTTTACTAGCATCATCTCATTTAATCTTCCCCAAGATCTTATGAAGTATGTGCTGTTATGGATGTATTATAACACCACGAAGGCAAGAACACTGTTCATTGTGTTCACTGCTGTATCACTATTGCCTGGCATAGTAGACAACAGTGCCTGGCATAGTAGACACGTAAAATATATGTATTCAATAAATAGAACTCCACTTGATAGATGAAGAAACTGAGCCATAGAGCGGCTAATTAACTTACCTTACTCACTAGGGTTAGATAAGAAAATATTAAAAAATCATGCAAAAATAGGGTACTGGTGAGAATGAAATGCATTATACAAGTGAGGTGTTAAACAGAACCTGGCACAGAGTCACCCTGTCCAGGTGATTTGCCAGCATTACTAGAATTATCTGATTACTTCCCATCAGGGACAGGCAAGACCTAATTCATTTCACTACTGCCAACCACTGGGGCTATGTCTTACATTAATTAGGTAGCACACAAAAATGCTAGGAGGGAGAAAATGTTTGCAAATAGATATTTGAGAGCTTAGTGAATTATTTGCTTTAATGAAAGTAAAATGAATTTCAGCTACATAGTCAATATTCATTCAACAAATATGTATCAAGGATGACTACATTATAGCCACTATGCTAGGTGTTGAGAATAAAATCTTGAAGAAATTTTAAAAAAAAGACAGTCTTTGCCCTCATAGAGGTTGCTATCCTGGGAGAGACACAGATACCAATATACGGGTGTAAAAAAATATCATCTTGAATAGGATGCTGTCTAAAACCATTACTTATGCATGAGAAATCTATAAGAATTTCTTGATAAACTGGAACACAAATGAAACTGATAACAGTGATTAAAAGCATGAGCTACGCCAAGACGTTAAGAACATAGCATATGTATAGATTAGAGATAAATAATACTGAGAGAAAAGGATAACTGCTTATTAATATTTGGAAGACAGTAACAAAACAGGCTAGAAGAATTACTTAAAATGATTTAGCATTGTATACTAAGAAGTAACATTATACAGTCAAGAAATGAAACATTTAGATTGGAAATGAAAAAACTTAATGATAAAACTCATTAGATAATGGGATCATTCATCAAGAAACTTCCTATTTTCAAACACAGGTGATGACAAAATGTGCAAAACTCGTAGTGCAAAATTTGCTATGCAAACCACGGATAAACCCAGCGGGAAAACATTAGAACATCAATAATGCATTTTGTTGTGCAGCAACATATACAAGCACTTAACTCAGTGTAGAGATAATGACATTTTAGTATCTGACTGACATAAGCTTGGATGTGGGCCCGCTTTCCTCTCCAGGCCCATGCCTTACGCGATGTTTCCCAAAGCTGATGTGTAAGATGGCTTTACAGGCTTCATCAAGCCCTTTGACCTTTGTGGGTTTCAGTTTCCCCCTCTGTGAAGCAGTGTAATACTCCAAGTCACCATGGAGGGAATGTAACCAGCATTTATAGATCTCCCATAGTGCTTCCGACAGCAAGATGCCTTGACAGATGTGGGTGGCTGTGGAGATAATGGATTCCATTTACTGAGTGCCTGGAAGGAGGTGTGTTGGATGAAGGCTCTTCTTTAATCTTGATCACAGTCTTTGCAGTGGGTGCTGCTGTTCTTAAGGATGAGGAAACTATGTCCCAGTTGGATTCGGGAACTTGTCTAAGGGCACATGGCCAGTAAGGTGTAGAAGCAGTCTACTTCTGTCTCTAGTACCCTGCTGCCTCCTACCACATTGGTCTTTCCTTCAAATCACCATGAAACTAGCAACCTAAGGATGACAAAAAGTATATATATATCATCCTCTATTTTACCAGGAAATGATGATTTTTGCAAGAGAAAAGGAGGTTTTTAAGCTTGAAAAGGTTGTGAAAGGTAAGTTGTATTTACTGAAATCACCATCATCCTCTCAGTCATCTTGATGAACAGTTCTATCAGGTCTTGCATCAGCCACGTTTCAAAGCACGTGAAACTCACAGAATTCTACAACCTTTCTCTCTGGACCCTTTGCCATCCCAGGTCCAGACTAGCTCATGCTCCAAGAAGACTTATTCTTTACTCTTATCACAGCAGAAGGAAAGCTCTCCCATCACCCACCATCCCTGGTCCCAGCCAGGTCTATGAGGAAAGCAGCCTGATTGTGAAGTAATTTATAACAGGCTGTAAATAAACAAGCTCTCAGTCCCTCCCAGGACATAAGCATTTGAATGATTGAATCAGTGTAGTAAATAATAGGTAGCATTTGCACAAGGCACTATTTGTTAAAAAGACATTTAAATATGTTTAATTCTGTGGGTGTTGTTATCTGTATTCTCAAATAGAAAAATTAAATTTTAGACAGAGTAATTGGCACAATTAAGTGCCAGAGCCACAATTTGAACACCCAACTTCTCATTCACAATTGTGTATTTTGTCCATTATCTTTCCCAGTTGCCCTGAGGCATTGGGGGAAAGAGGCATAAGGCTTTTCTTGAGGAAGATAACTTTCTTCCTTGGTTCTTTCCTAGCTCTGGCTACCAGCACACTCTTCCTTTGAGCTGTAGCATGTACAAATCATGCAATTAGCAATTCAGAAAATGCCTTTAAAAACTTGCTAAATTCCTCTTTATTTCACTGACATGTTGAACAGATTTAATTGTTAAATTTGGCAACATGAAGGCAACAGTGGTTGACTTACTGTCTGAAATTAGCACTTAGGCCCTATGGGAAGGTGCATTCAGCAAAAGTGAATTATTATTTTGCTGTTACGTTTATGGTGTGCTGGGTACTATTTTCCACACTTTACATATACTATCTCGTTTAATACTTATGACCACCCTAAGATAGAAAGTGCTATTATTATGTTCTTTTTATAGATGAAAACACTGGCATAGCTAAGTAACTTGCTTGAGAGTCAGCAGTTGAAACTGGGATGCAAAGCACAGGAGTGTGTCCCCAGAGCCCCTGTCTTTAGACGTGTGTCACAAAGCACCGTTGTCTCCTTCCTCCACCCTGGGAAATGCTGCAGAGTTTAGTGCTGAATAGGACTTCTGGAATAAATTTCTAGAGAGTCTGAAAACAACCATGACCTCATACCTCTGATACTTTTTAGTATTGTGCCCAACAGGTCACACAATGTGTTTGCTTTGTAAGAATGATCTCTGGATTCTTCATTGATCTAAATTCAGCCTCCCCACTCACAGCACTTATTGAGCCCAGCAAGAAACACGAGTTTATGTCAGGAACAAATAAATCCTTCTTTGCTTTCCATCTGAATGGGGCTTTTCTTTATGAAAATCAATGGGAATTGAATCGCTCTGAAGGGCCTGTCTGAGATATGTTAATAGTAGAATCAATGGATACCCTTCCCACCTATTTTGGTGATGAGAAAAATCTCCAGGTGGTCTCTTCACCCCAGTGAGGAGAGAGTGTTTAGAAATTAATGAACAAGAAATGTCTCAGAGGCAAGAGAGCTCAAACACCAGCCTCTTCAAAAATAAAACACACATGAAGTATAGCACTCATAAGCTATGGTCTTTATGCAAGTCTCAGTTTCCTCGATGCCTCAGTTTCCTTAATTATACAATTTGTTTTTTGGTCAATTATGTCATGTTAACACATGAAAAGTGCTTATAGCAATTTTTGACATCACTGTAGTTACGTGTTCAATAATTATTTGTGTTTCCTGCTCCGAGTCTCCTCTGTGGATAGTAGGAATGGTGGAAAGACAGTGGTTATGGCTCCAAAAGAATCCCAACAAAGGAGATAGGAAGAGAAAATGGCAATTTCCAATTCCCTCTCACTCTTTCACTCCTTTGCCACCTGTCTCTTTCTATTAGGTACCCTTCTCAATCCTTATGCAAATTGAAGTATTACCTCTTGTGTGATTCATATAGTTAATTTATCTGTCAAAGTTATTGTCACATTTATCACAACCTGATGAGGAAGGGACGACTATTGTCCCCATTTGCAGATGAGAAACCTGGAGTTTGATGTTAAGCAACCTACCTGGGTCACAAACTTGGTAACTAGTGGAGACAGAACTCAAATGGATCAAAAATGTAGTTTCTGGTTTTACATAATTCAGTGCACAATTCTTAAGTAGATTTTGAGTTAAAGAAACCTGAGTGGGAGGAGTCTAGGTTTCTTCATTAATTAGCCATATGACTTCAGGCAAACTCTAGCTTCCTTATCTGTTACATGCAGATAATGGTGCCTATCTTTTGGGCCTCTTCTAACAATTAAAAGAGATAACATTTAAGATAACACTTGAAGTCAGCTCCAAAAAGAAGCTATGATTATCTTTCCCTTCTCCTACACCTTACCATTACATTATTAAAGGCCACTGTTCCTTTTACCCAGTATATAATATCTATCTTTTAACCAAAAGCTATAACAAATACTAGAAGGCAAGAAATACAGTTTGAAGAGGTTGAATAAGCATCATAGCCAAAGTCAGATATGGCAGGAATGTTGAAATTATTAGACCAGGAATTTTTTTAAATAACGAATATGCTAAGGGCTTAATGGAAGAAGTAGAAAACATGCAAGAAGTGATAGACAATGTAAAAAGAGCAATGGAAATTCTAGGTTTTAAAAAATTTCTAGCGACAAAAAAGACTAACGGAAATGACAAATGTTTTTATGGACTCATTAGTAGACTGAATACTGATGAGAAAATAATCTTTGAGTTTGAGAATATGACAATAGACACTTCCAAAACTGAGAAGCAAGAGGGAAAAGATGGGGGAAAAAAAAGCAGAATGTCCAAGAACCATGGGACAACTACAAAAGCCGTAACATCTGCATAATGAGCACACCAGAGGAGAAGAAAAAGATAAGGGAGCAGAAGCAATATTTGAAGCAACAATGACTGTGAATTTCCCCAAAATTAATGTAAGACTCTAAACCACAGATCCAGGAGGCTCACAAAACTTCAACAGATAAACATCAAACAACAAACAAAACCGACAAGTGGTTGTATCATATTCAAACTACAGAAAATCAAAGATTAAAAAAAAAACCTAAATAAAGCCAGAGGAAATGAAATTTCCTCTGTAGAGGAGCAAAGAATTACATCTGACTTCTCAGAAACCATGAAAGTAAGGAGAAAATCTTCAGGATTTAGAGCTAGGAAAGAGTTCTTAGACTTGACATCAAAAGTACTACCAGTAAAAAGAAAATAAGTTGGATCTTATCAAAATAAAAAATATTTTCTCTGTGACAGAATCTGTTAAGAGGATGAAAAAACAAGCTACACACTGGGAGAAAGTAGTTGCAAACCATATCTCTGACAAAATATTAGTATTTAAATTATTTAATGAAATCTCAAAACTTCACAGTAAAAAAGCAAGTAATCCAATTAGAAAATGAACAAAAGACAGGAAGAAGCATTTTACCAATGGCAAATAAGCACATGAAAAGATATTCAACATCATTAGCCATTAAGGAAATGCAAATTAAAGCCACAATGAAATATCACTACACACCTATTAGAACAGCTAAAATAATAATAGTGGTAACACCGATGCTGGGAAGGATGTGGAGAAACTAGATCACTCACACATTGATAGTGGGGATGTAAAATGTTACAGTCATTCTAGAAAATAGTCTGGCAGTTTTATATAGAACTAAACACACAACTACCAAATGACCTAACAATTACACACTCGGGCATTTATCACAGAGAAATAAAAACTTTGGTTCACAGAAAACCTATACGTAAATGTTCATGGCAGTTTCATTCACAATGGTCAAAAGTTTGAAAGAACCCAGATACCCTTTGGTAAATGGTCAAACAAACCATGACACGTCTACCATGAAATACTACTCTGTAACAAAAAGGAGTGATCTATTGATACATGTAAGAAGAATTATGGAGAGTTATCCTGAACGAAAAGAGCTCATCCCTAAAGGCTATATGCTATCAAATTTCATTTCTATAGCATTCTTGAAATGCCACAATTATAGACATGTGGGATACATTTTTGCTTTCCAGGGGTTAAGGATGGAGTGGCAGGAAATTATGTGTGGTTATAAAAGGGTAACCTGAAGGATCTTGTAGAAGGAAAAATATTTTGTATCTTGACTGTTCAATGCTTTGAAAGATGTTACCATTAGGAGAAACTTAAATATAAAACATAAATCTGTAAAACTTCTAGGTCAGGAGATCGAGACCATCCTGGCTAACATGGTGAAACCTCGTCTCTACTAAAAAATACAAAAAACTAGCCGGGCGAGGTGGCGGGCGCCTGTAGTCCCAGCTACTCAGGAGGCCGAGACACAGGAGAATGGCGTAAACCCGGGAGGCGGAGCTTGCAGTGAGCTGAGTTCCGGCCACTGCACTCCAGCCTGGGCTACAGAGCGAGACTCCGTCTCAAAAAAAAAAAAAAAAAAAAAAAAAAAAAAGTAGGAGAAAATCTTCAGGCTTTAGAACTAGCAAAGAGTTCTTAGACTTGACAACAAAAGTACTACCAGTAAAAAGAAAATAAATAGGATCTTATCAAAATTAAAAGAGTAAAATTAAAAAGGGTACACAAGACCTTCTGTATTATTTCTTGCAACTGCATGTGAATTTACAATAATCTCAAAGTGAAGTTTAATTAAGACATGGTTTTCAAGTAATGATTATGACACAGGAAAATGTTTTTATTATATGAAAAAGTGAAAAATGCAACTATATTTTAAGTAATGAAAAATCTAAAGAAAGCATATATTTATATTTATGCTGAGCTTAAGAAATGGGAGTACTAAAAGGTTTACCTTTGAGCAATAAAATAAAGAAACATATATTTTTCTTTCTTCCTTACAATTAAATGTATTTTTCAGTTTTTAATATTACATTTTTATATTACATTTATTAATAACATCAGTAACCACAAAACAGAACTGCAGAGGTCATGATCATCCATTCAATTCACAAATGAAAACTTCACACTTTTCCTAGTAGAGTTTCAGAAGAAATGGCAATTTATTGAAAACCTTGATTTGATATTAAATAAATGATCCTTTCCTACTCTCCAGAATGATAACTTTTATAATTAATGGGATAATTTAACTGCAAATCTTCCAGTCAGTAATATTAATTAAAAAGAAGACATGTAAATGACCTTCTGGAAAGGACTTATCTCTTAATTTACCCACAAATAAGCACTTGCGATTACTTCTTAATCAATACCAGGAAGCCAGCTAGAATTAATACCAGGCCTCTTAGTTTCAGCCACTTTTAAGAGCACTCAGGATCACCACATTCATACGCTTCAAGGCCAGCCCTATATTTTCCTCTAATTTACCTGACCTTTCAGACAGTAAGTGAATTTCAGGGTTTATAGGCTTGGCCTGAATAACTAGCAACTTTCATTACTTTGATAATTGACCAAAAGCTTTGGGAAATGTCAGCCTTTCCTGGGTTATTGTTTAATATTGTTTAATATGTTAATAAGATCATTAACATGTTTCTTAGCTGAGAAAAAGTCCTGTTACATAAAGAAAGTTGTAGGAGGCTGGAGAAGGATGAATAAAAAAACTGTATTTTTATTTCTAGGAAAAAAGTAGAGTTCTTTCCAAACTACCTTTCTTTTTGTGTTAGATGTAGCATAAACAGTGGCTATTAGGTTTCAAAGAATTGATACTTAAAGACAAAATGCACTTGCCTCTTTTGGGGAGGTCTGGGTCTAAATTAGCATATATTTGAAATTACTCCTCCATCTCTTAAATTGTCAGTTGAGGAAATTGCTAACATACTTCTGTATTGATGGGGTTCAGGACACACTACCCCCAAATATGGCATATGGTATATTGAATCTGTTAAGCTGAGGGAATTTGAGAAACAGAATGTGCAGGGAGAACTTTCTAGCCATCCCTTTAAGTAGGTCATAAAACCTAGGAAGAGCTTTCTGACCCTCCTGTGAAGGTCATAACATCCTCAGGTCAGAGGTGCCCACCCTATACCTGGAGGAAATCTTCAGATATCTTTATATCTGAAGACACAGGGACACAGAGAAGATGGAAAGGAACAGACCTTGCTAAGTCTCCCCAGTTTATTACCATGAGGGCGTACCCCTGTGTCCTATCATATTCTTTCATGACTATTCACGCTTCAACAAACATCACATAAAAACACCCAGGTTCAACTGCTTCTTTGGGTCTTCATTTTCTTATGAAGGCTTCTGTGTCAGGTAAAACTTTTTTGAGATAAACGTATGTGCTTTCCTCTAGTTAATCTGTCTTTCGTTACAGAGTCCCAGCCAATGCACCTGAGATGAGTAGAAGGAAAAGATATTTTTCCTCCCTTACAGTATATAGCATATTCTTTCTCTTCAAGGATAGTGTTCGATTGATTCAATTTCTTTTACAGGGGTGTTGGTTGTTTTTTTGGACATCTTAACTAGCGTTTCAATGATTTGTCAATAGTTAGGAAGACCCTACAAGCCACAGGCATGTTCTTTCAGTGGTTTTACCAACACACATTAGTGGTTTCAGGCTTGAATGCTTCCAGCCCCTCCTTAAGGTAAGTGACCCAGTATGGGATTGTCAAGTTGAACTCAGCTAAGGTAAATGAACATTTACATCATGTGACACAGTAGGTACCAATGACTTTGTAGTCCTAGCCATGACAGTGTTTTCACAGATGAAAGCAGGTGATTGCATCTTTACACAAAATCACCTGTTGCACTGCACTGGTTACATTAGGATCCGATTTCTCCAAGTTGGAATCTGAGGCCTCGAAACACCATTACCACCAAATTAGAATGCTTAACCCAACAGCACCATGGTGGAAACACTTGTAGAGTATCTCTTCTCTTCCCCTTCCCTTTTCTGTTCCCCCTCCTCTTTTCTCCTTTCCTTTCCTTTCCTTTCCTTCCCTTTCCTTTCCTTTCCTTTCCTTTCCTTTCCTTTCCTTTCCTTTCCTTTCCTTTCCTTTCCTTTCCTTTCCTTTCCTTTCCTTTCCTCTCCTCTCCTCTCCTTTCCCTTTCCCCTTCCTTCTTTCCTTCCTTCCTTCCTTCCTTCCTTCCCTCCCTCCCTCCCTCTCTCCCTCTCTCTTTCTCTCTTTCTCTCTTTCTCTCTTTCTTTCTTTCTTTCTTCCTTCCTTCCTTCCTTTCCTTCCTTCCTTCCTTCCTTCCTTCCTTCCTTCCTTCCTTCCTTCCTTCCTTCCTTCCTTCCTTCCTTCCTTCCTTCCAATGGAGACTAACTTGGTTGCTCAGGCTGGAGTGCAGTGGTGTGTTCTCAGCTCACTGCAACCTCTCCATCCTGGGTTCCAGCAATCCTCCTTGCCTCAGCCTCTGGAGTAGCTAGGATTACAGATGCCCACCACCATGCCCATTTAATTTTTATATTTTTAGGAGAGACAGGGTTTCACCAAGTTGGCCACGCTTGTCTTGAACTCCTGACCTCAGGTGATCCACCTGCTTTGGCCTCCCAAAGTGATGGGATTACAGGTGTTAGCCACAGACCCCAGTCTTTCTCTCTTTTTTTCTTTCCTTCTTTCTTTCCTTCTTTCTTTCTTTCTTTCTTTCTTTCTTTCTTTCTTTCTTTCTTTCTTTCTTTCTTTCTTTCTTCTTTCTTTCTTTCTTTCTTTCTTTCTTTCTTTCTTTCTTTCTTTCTTTCTTCCTTCCTTCCTTCCTTCCTTCCTTCCTTCCTTCCTTCTTGTTGTTTCTTTTAATGGAGGGGAAAGCAATGTAAAATAAATAAATACACGGGAAAAGAAAAAAAAGCCACCACAATTAATTGTCCACCACGAGTAAAGCAATCATGAGGTTCTATACCAGTTTTCAGACACAGCAGGATGAGACAGCAGCTTTGAACTGGCTCGACTTTGTGATTCAACTTCCTCCCTTCACTACCTGCTGGTTGGACTCAACGTAGCTTTTGGATCCTGATAAGTCAATTAAATGCTTCCAACCCCCAAACCTGAATCACATCCCAGAAAACATCCATGGATGTGGGTGCTGATGTTCTAAATTTGACTCTCACGTTAGCC